CCGATAATTCAAAAAAAAAACTCTGAAATTCCAAAAAGAATTCCAGTAATTTATAAATAACTACAGTAATTCCAAACAATTCAAAGATAATTTTTATAATTCCAAATACTTCTAAATAATTTTAAACAATTTTAAGTTTTGAAAATTTGGAGACGACAAGTCTCTAGAAGTCAGAAAAAGAGCAATTTGTAATGAAGGTTTCTTAAGACGCTCTAATTTTTACCAAGAATTTGACGAGATGAAAATAAAAAAGATTGCATGTATCAATTTGGGGCTTATTTCAATAAATTACACAAAATTTATTGCCTTCATGATAGCTGCTTGTATCTTTTAGCAAAATAACTTTTTTTTTATTAAACTTTTTGTAACAGGAAGCTCATTTTTGCGCACAACATTTACTTACAATGACATTTTTATATCAATATTATTAGCACTGAATTTTGTCTTTATGGTCATTAGGTAGTGATTCTGTTTTGGCAAAAATTCTGGAACAGGTCAATTTTTTTTTAAATACAAAGTTTTCAACTTGATTTAAAATTCTATGTTTGTATTTGTTGATGTTAAAATTTGATGTAATAATCAATATTTTGGTGTAATTTGGAGATTTAAAATGGCTAAAAAAATTTGGGGTTTCTATTAAAAAAATGTCGATGATGTCATTACTCAAAAATGAAAAATCAAAAGTCTAAAATTTTTAATCAAATTAGGAATTGTGTATTTTTTTTAAATTAACCTCTTTGAGCATGTTTGCTTCCAAAGAGCAAACAAGCACCCAAAATTCATAAAAGTAAAAAAACTAATTTTTTCCCCAAAATTTTGCCTTGGTGAAACTGACCTTAACTTGGGCAGCTCGCAGTAGACCCACTCGGACACATCCTCGATCCTCACTTCCCTGTGCGTGGAGGTCAAATCCAGCTTATTCCCGGCCACCACGATGGGTATCTCCTGGTAGTCTCCTCTCTGTTCCCTGATCTCCTCGAAGCACTGCTTGATGCAGTCGAAGGACGGCGCCGACGTCACGGCATACACCAGGAGGAAGGCGTGCGCCGTGGCAATGCACAACCTCCTCATCGCCGGGAATTGCATGTCGCCGGCTGTGTCCAGGATATCCACTTTGAGCGTCATGTGGCCGAGGTCGTACTCGCGGTTGTAGAGGTCCTCGATGGTGCTGCGGTACTTGTCCGAGTAGGTGTTCATCAGGAAGCGCTTGATGATGCAGCTTTTGCCGACGCCGGCGCCGCCGAGGATCACCAGGCGGATGCGCTCGTAGTCGGACATGGTCGTGCCGTTGTTGTTCATCTGGTGGGGGGCCGAGGGTTGGCGCTTAAGCCTTCATTTCAGCATGGTGGAGGGCTTAGAGAAGAGACATCTGGTCCCTGCAATGACAAACACATTTTTTCCAACACTTTCAGTTTCCGTTTGGGAACAACAGTAAAAATAATAATAATAAAAAATAAGAAATAAAAATAAAAATAAGAAATACACAGTAAAGACAATGAATAAATGTCTAGCAAAACTAACTAATTTAATATTCACACATTTACAAACAAAATGTTTCCGAACAAAATTGGAATATCGCAAAGAGTTCAAAACTAAATTGTAACAGCAGTGCAAAGAGTGGCGTACGCTGATTAGACTGATTACCATTTGTGTACAGCTTCCAGCCCTTGCTAAAATCATTCTTGCGCAAGGGCCATTGCTAATACAGATACCGCAAAAGTTGTTCCAATCTTTAAAAAAGGAGATTCGAATGAATGCAGTAATTATCGTCCTATTTCTGTAATTTCGACAATTTCTAAAGTGTTATAAATGACTATAAAAGACAGACTTATAGAATTTTTCGAAAAATACAACATTTTTACAAAAAACAACATGGACATACAAAGAAAAAATCTATCGTAACTGCTATTAATGATGTCATTCAGCATATAGGGTTATTCATAAATATGAAGCAATATTTGAACCTCAAAAATGACCTATAAAATGATGGTAATTTAAATAATAACTCGTGTCCTATCTCTACTGATAAGAATTTTACAGCCCTCGGAATGTGGGTATGGAAATTTAATTTTTTTGTAATAACTTTGGAACTATTTGACCAAATATTATAAAATTTGGAACATTTCCCTGTGACAACATACCCTTTAAAATGGTAATCATGAAAACCGGATACATCCACTCAATTTCCGGTTACAGCAGTTGCAGGTCACATTTTCTGTGTTTTTCCATTTTTTTGCTCTCTTAACACCAATTTTTTATTACCCAAATCGATAGAGTAATCAATTTCGATTAAAAAACGCATAACCTTTAATACCCGTAAAATGGACCGTTTCAAAGATATTTTAATTTAAACTGAGGACTACACAATGCTGAAACCAAAAAGTAGGGATTTTGAATGGATGATATCCGCGGTAACAAATGACCATGGTCTTACTAATCGCTGTCAGGCATCTGTCAACTTGGATATTGGACGATTATTAGACAATTAATCGAAAATATTTAATAAAAAAGTTTACCTCAGATTCCAAACATAACTTAGAATAAATCCAAATGGATCTCGTAGCATTTAATTCCTAAAAAAATCACAAAAATTTATTGTCAAAGTTAACAGATGCCTGGCAGGAATTTATGTGACCATGGTCATTGGTTGCCGTGGATACCATTTATTCAAAATCCCTATTTTTTGATTTCAGCGTTGTGCAGTCCTCAGTTTAAATTAAAATATCTTTGAAACGGTCCATTTTAGGAGTATTAAAGGTTATGCGTTTTTTAATCGAAATTGATTACTCTATCGATGTGGGCAATAAAAAATTGGTGTTAAGAAAGCCAAAAAATTGAAAAACACAGAAAATGTGACCTGCTACTGCTGGAACCGGAAATTGAGTGGATGTATACGGTTTTCGTGATTACCAGTTTAAAGGGTATGTTGTCACAGGGAAATCTTCCAAATTTTATAATATTTGGTCAAATAGTTCCAAAGTTATACAAAATAAAATCAAATTTCCATAGCCACATTCCGAGGGCTGTAAAATTCTTATCAGTAGAGATAGGACACGAGTTATTATTTAAATTAACATCATTTTATAGGACATTTTTGAGGTTCAAATATTGCTTCATATTTATGAATAACCCTGTATATTAACCGCACAAAATAACCAAGATCAAGTTATCATGGCTTGCTGTGATCTGTCAAAAGCTTTTGACACGGTTCAACATAAGGAACTTTTACTGAAACTAGAGTATTACGGTATTAGAGGCGTGGCTTAAAAAATATTTGAATCATATCTATCAAACCGAAACCAAATAATTAAACGGAAAAATCAAACATCAAGAAGTGAAAAAGTTAGATATGGAATGGAGTTCCTCAGGGCTCTATATTGGGCCCAATTTTATTTATAATTTATACCAATGACTTAATAACCAGCGTTCTAAAAATATGGACTCACTCATAGTTCCTCATCATCGCCTGAAAAGAACCCAACAAGGTATCGATTTTTGGGAATCCAAATTGTATAATAAACTAAATGAAAAAATCAAGAACTTAAATATAATTCAGTTAAAGAAAAAAGTTAAGACAATGTTGATCAACAAAAGTTTCTATTCTGTAGAAGAATAGAAACTACTACTGTGACTTAAATTAAATATTGAAATTCATATTGTTATAGTGTGTTTTTTTGTCTTGTTTTTGACCATATTCTGTAATTTTGATTTCTATCTATCTATCTATCTATTTATATATACCACCCTATAATAATAGTAAATGTTTAGAAATATAAAAATAAGTACCAATAATAATAAATAACATTCTTGCGCAGATGCCATGCATTGTTATGTAACCAAAACTGAAAATTATTTAAATTTTATGTTGTTTTACTAATTTTGATTAAAGTTATTGAGCGTTTATTATTTTTACTTTGCAAATTGGGTTTTTTACTGAACAAATTACAATAAAATACTGTGCTTTACACTTACTTTACTTAGCTTTACTTAGCATTTATTGTTTTTACTGTGCAAAATATTATATTGTAGTGATCATTTTTAATTTTCTACCGTTCAAAAATTAATTAAATACTGATCATTTAGAACGTTATACTGATCAAAACTGAATTATTTACTGATCGTTTTATTACTACCCTTTCTGTTTGAGATTGTTTTGCGAATATTCCGTGTGATATAAATAGCTTTCTTAAATTAATAAACGGATTTTTTTTGGAAACTAAAAGGCCAAAAATTTCGTTCCATCATTTTTGTTGTTTTTGTTATCTTTTTTATGTTTTTTTTTAATAACACACACAATTTACCTAAACGCTAGACGTTTATGGATCATTACGCGTTTCGACTATAAAATGGTGATCTTCAGGTGAAAATTAATATTATTCCGTGTCATGCATACAGGGTGAATATAAAGTATTAAACCAATCGGTTTTTTTATTAAATCATTTGACTTCAGAAAATAATAATTAATATAAATTAAAGTAATATTAAGAATGTGATTGTATTTTGATAACGAAATTTTGTTTTGTTTTTTAATTATGCGATTTTTTTTGTCAAAACTGCAATTTATGTAAAAAATTTGTTTTAAAAAAATTAAATAAAAAGTAGATAGTTGTAATCTTTAGATCATAACCTGCATAAAAAATGATTTTATAGTAAGTTGCCATGTAAAAAATTAATAACTCAAAAACAAAACAAAAATTAAAAAAAAATTCTCGGAAGCATCACATTTTTATAGTACTTTATCATTCATTAATTAGTTTTTTCAAAAAATAAATAATTTAAGCAAAAAACGTTTGGTTCCAGGTAGTAGTTATCGAGAAAGCAAAATAGGAAAAATTCATATCTCAAAAATTATCGGTTCTGGTTCTCAATACAGTTTGCCAAACAAATATGTACTTAAAATTTTACATACATAGTTTATTATTTTTGTTGAGATTTGCAGATTTTTTATATTTCCGATTTTTTTCAAAATTTTTGTTATTGATCACTTTTTGTTCGGTACTGCTAAACCACTATTTTTAGAAGTAATTTAACGGAGTTATTAATACAGTAAAATAAATATAAAATTTGTTGATTTAAAAAAGAAAAACATTTATTTATTATTTATTATTCCTTTATGATTTTTTTTATTTATTAGAATAAAAGCAAAAAATTGTTGAGTGAACTGAAACTGTGAGGTTCAAACACTCCATATTATAAAAAATATTTTGTGAAAAATTTCTTGTAAAATCATTATTTTTATACAAAACACAGGAGGATGTTTTTGTCATATGAAAACAGCCCTATAATTGACAGAAAAGCACTAAACAGGCCCTAAAGTGTTTCTTTTGATTTGCAAAAAAAGGTTTCCTATTTTTATTTCAGACAGATCAATACCTAAATGATATAAATACAAACTTGGCTAGTTGTTGACTTTTTTGTAAAAACTGTTCAAAAATTGAATCGTCACGAGTAATATGTTTAAAAAAGAACTTCTTTAGGTGAATGCAAGGTTAAATCTACGTTTAGCGGAGCGAAAAGGTAGTTCAGAAAATGTAATATAAGTTTGTGTGTATGTGACGAGATATCAAAGGATATTGCCGTTGGTATTTTATAAAGTACAATATTAAACCGAGGAATTTTTTGTGGTTCAATTAAATGCATATAATCACTTGTATTTTTTAATTTCTTGATTGAAACTCAAATTAAAATGTTTTGATTTTATTTCCTGTCGTTTTTTGTTTAAAATTTCTCTTTGTTGCGCTTTCAATAATTTGAAATATTTGTGAGGAACTGAAGAAGTCAAAAGTAGTAGATTAGAAATTTTTTATTGGATAATAGTATATTATATACATAAAGGGAGAGAAATGCACGATTGTTCTTGAGATGCTACAGGTGCAGAGCACCAAAGGAATAATAACAATTCTCTCCAGTGGTGTATACACAATTTTTTGCACGACTTGCGTTAAAAATGCCAAGAAATTGTCTGAAATTCTTTAAAAAAATCTAAAAAACCATGGCAACAATAAAATGTTTGATGACAATGAACCAGTCAATGCATAGGAGAGACTTATTTCTCTCCCTTGGGGCAGAATTTTAACATAAACAAACTTGATTGCTTACAATGCATAATTCCCGTGTTTTATTTGAAAAATTCTACAGTGTTACAATGTTTCAAAATTAAATTTATCTAACGAAAAAAAAACAGTTAATTCTTTGAAGTGTTTCACAAAGTTATTTGACGTCTGATTGCTTTTTCTCAGTTAAACACGATTTAATATTCTGTTTCTATTTTCTTCGGGATTTCTTTCATTTATTTTCATATTATTTATTTACAATAAAGGATGTAGTTAAAACGTTTATTATTTTTTTGTCACAAATGGGTATTATTGAAATCGAA